TGAAGTAACACAAAAAAGACATAAAAGACACTTGAGAATGAAAAAAAACGTCTATGCTTCATTAAGGAGCCATAAGAAGCATTAATGAGCCATCAGAAGCATTAAAGTGTAACACTAATCCACCAAAGAGTGATAAAAACGGCTAGGAGGCTTTATGAAGTAAAAAAGTAACGTTTTTAGCATTTATAAAGCCTTAAAAATGTTGCCCTAGCCTTCATGCAACCCTAATTCAATTTGTGGGCTACCATGCACAACCCAACCATTGAGCCCAAGCCACCTTCTAGCCCACTAGTAATCACTAATCCATCACCTTTTGGGCTTTCATAATCCATGCATGGATCATCCCCTCCCCCTTTGGAAGGAATTGACCTCAATTCATTAAGTCCATCATCATCAAGATAAGGTGAATGATCTCCCACATTAAAGGTAGCATGCATTCCATGGTCTCCTCCTAAGTCCACATTGTAACCATTATCATTTTCAAAATTTGTCACTGCTCTGATACCACTTATGATACGTGTATGAGCTTGATTTGATGAGTAGGGTAGTGTTTAGGTAAATTAAGAGAGAATAACAACCACAAATGATATGTGAACGGAAAGAAATGGATAGATTAGTAACAACTCAAGACCTATTAAGTTGTATACCAGTGAAAACAATCCAAGACCTATTGGATTGAGTTCGTATCAAGTCAAGAACACGTCCTAACAAGATAATTTGTGAATTATAACAATAATTCTAATCGAACAAAGGTTTTTTTCTTAAAAATTCGTCTATTATCTTTCCCATGCATAAACTTGGCTTTATATGAAGCCTTTATTACAAACTTGGTAGTTACAAGCCAACCAACCAATTATTCATTAAAACTAGTAAATGAAATTTAAGGAAACTCTTGAAGTAACACAAAAAAGACCTAAAAGACACTTGAGAATGAAAAAAAACGTCTATGCTTCATTAAGAGCCATAAGAAGCATTAATGAGCCATCAGAAGCATTAAAGTGTAACTCTAATCCACCAAAGAGTGATAAAAACGGCTAGGAGGCTTTATGAAGTAAAAAAGTAACGTTTTTAGCACTTATAAAGCCTAAAAAATGTTGCCCTAGCCTTTATGCAACCCTAATTCAATTTGTGGGCTACCATGCACAACCCAACCGTTGAGCCCAAGCCACCTTCTAGCCCACTAGTAATCACTAATCCATCACCTTTTGGGCTTTCATAATCCATGCATGGATCATCCCCTCCCCCTTTGGAAGGAATTAACCTCAATTCATTAAGTCCATCATCATCAAGATAAGGTGAACGATCTCCCACATTAAAGGTAGCATGCATTCCATGGTCTCCTCCTAAGTCCACATTGTAACCATTATCATTTTCAAAATTTGTCACTGCTCTGATACCACTTATGATACATGTATGAGCTTGATTTGATGAGTAGGGTAGTGTTTAGGTAAATTAAGAGAGAATAACAACCACAAATGATATGTGAACGGAAAGAAATGGATAGATTAGTAACAACTCAAGACCTATTAAGTTGTATACCAGTGAAAACAATCCAAGACCTATTGGATTGAGTTCGTATCAAGTCAAGAACACATCCTAACAAGATAATTTGTGAATTATAACAATAATTCTAATTGAACAAAGGTTTTTTTCTTAAAAATTCGTCTATTATCTTTCCCATGCATAAACTTGGCTTTATATGAAGCCTTTATTACAAACTTGGTGGTTACAAGCCAACCAACCAATTATTCATTAAAACTAGTAAATGAAATTTAAGGAAACTCTTGAAGTAACACAAAAAAGACATAAAAGACACTTGAGAATGAAAAAAAACGTCTATGCTTCATTAAGGAGCCATAAGAAGCATTAATGAGCCATCAGAAGCATTAAAGTGTAACACTAATCCACCAAAGAGTGATAAAAACGGCTAGGAGGCTTTATGAAGTAAAAAAGTAACGTTTTTAGCATTTATAAAGCCTTAAAAATGTTGCCCTAGCCTTCATGCAACCCTAATTCAATTTGTGGGCTACCATGCACAACCCAACCATTGAGCCCAAGCCACCTTCTAGCCCACTAGTAATCACTAATCCATCACCTTTTGGGCTTTCATAATCCATGCATGGATCATCCCCTCCCCCTTTGGAAGGAATTGACCTCAATTCATTAAGTCCATCATCATCAAGATAAGGTGAATGATCTCCCACATTAAAGGTAGCATGCATTCCTTGGTCTCCTCCTAAGTCCACATTGTAACCATTATCATTTTCAAAATTTGTCACTGCTCTGATACCACTTATGATACGTGTATGAGCTTGATTTGATGAGTAGGGTAGTGTTTAGGTAAATTAAGAGAGAATAACAACCACAAATGATATGTGAACGGAAAGAAATGGATAGATTAGTAACAACTCAAGACCTATTAAGTTGTATACCAGTGAAAACAATCCAAGACCTATTGGATTGAGTTCGTATCAAGTCAAGAACACATCCTAACAAGATAATTTGTGAATTATAACAATAATTCTAATTGAACAAAGGTTTTTTTCTTAAAAATTCGTCTATTATCTTTCCCATGCATAAACTTGGCTTTATATGAAGCCTTTATTACAAACTTGGTGGTTACAAGCCAACCAACCAATTATTCATTAAAACTAGTAAATGAAATTTAAGGAAACTCTTGAAGTAACACAAAAAAGACATAAAAGACACTTGAGAATGAAAAAAAACGTCTATGCTTCATTAAGGAGCCATAAGAAGCATTAATGAGCCATCAGAAGCATTAAAGTGTAACACTAATCCACCAAAGAGTGATAAAAACGGCTAGGAGGCTTTATGAAGTAAAAAGTAACGTTTTTAGCACTTATAAAGCCTTAAAAATGTTGCCCTAGCCTTCATGCAACCCTAATTCAATTTGTGGCTACCATGCACAACCCAACCATTGAGCCAAGCCACCTTCTAGCCCACTAGTAATCACTAATCCATCATTTTGGGCTTTAATAATCCATGCATGGATCATCCCCTCCCCCTTCGGAAGGAATTGACCTCAATTCATTAAGTCCATCATCATCAAGATAAGGTGAATGATCTCCCACATTAAAGGTAGCATGCATTCCATGGTCTCCTCCTAAGTCCACATTGTAACCATTATCATTTTCAAAATTTTTCACTGCTCTGATACCACTTATGATACGTGTATGAGCTTGATTTGATGAGTAGGGTAGTGTTTAGGTAAATTAAGAGAGAATAACAACCACAAATGATATGTGAACGGAAAGAAATGGATAGATTAGTAACAACTCAAGACCTATTAAGTTGTATACCAGTGAAAACAATCCAAGACCTATTGGATTGAGTTCGTATCAAGTCAAGAACACGTCCTAACAAGATAATTTGTGAATTATAACAATAATTCTAATTGAACGAAAGTTTTTTTCTTAAAAATTCGTCTATTATCTTTCCCATGCATAAACTTGGCTTTATATGAAGCCTTTATTACAAACTTGGTGGTTACAAGCCAACCAACCAATTATTCATTAAAACTAGTAAATGAAATTTAAGGAAACTCTTGAAGTAACACAAAAAAGACGTAAAAGACACTTGAGAATGAAAAAAACGTCTATGCTTCATTAAGGAGCCATAAGAAGCATTAATGAGCCATTAGAAGCATTAAAGTGTAACCCTAATCCACCAAAGAGTGATAAAAACGGCTAGGAGGCTTTATGAAGTAAAGAGTAACGTTTTTAGCACTTATAAAGCCTTAAAAATGTTTCCCTAGCCTTCATGCAACCCTAATTCAATTTGTGAGCTACCATGCACAACCCAACCATTGAGCTCAAGCCACCTTCTAGCCCACTAGTAATCACTAATCCATCATCGTTTAGGCTTTAATAATCCATGCATGGATCATCCCCTCCCCCTTCGGAAGGAATTGACCTCAATTCATTAAGTCCATCATCATCAAGATAAGGTGAATGATCTCCCACATTAAAGGTAGCATGCATTCCATGGTCTCCTCCTAAGTCCACATTGTAACCATTATCATTTTCAAAATTTGTCACTGCTCTGATACCACTTATGATACGTGTATGAGCTTGATTTGATGAGTAGGGTAGTGTTTAGGTAAATTAAGAGAGAATAACAACCACAAATGATATGTGAACGGAAAGAAATGGATAGATTAGTAACAACTCAAGACCTATTAAGTTGTATACCAGTGAAAACAATCCAAGACCTATTGGATTGAGTTCGTATCAAGTCAAGAACACATCCTAACAAGATAATTTGTGAATTATAACAATAATTCTAATTGAACAAAGGTTTTTTTCTTAAAAATTCGTCTATTATCTTTCCCATGCATAAACTTGGCTTTATATGAAGCCTTTATTACAAACTTGGTGGTTACAAGCCAACCAACCAATTATTCATTAAAACTAGTAAATGAAATTTAAGGAAACTCTTGAAGTAACACAAAAAAGACATAAAAGACACTTGAGAATGAAAAAAAACGTCTATGCTTCATTAAGGAGCCATAAGAAGCATTAATGAGCCATCAGAAGCATTAAAGTGTAACACTAATCCACCAAAGAGTGATAAAAACGGCTAGGAGGCTTTATGAAGTAAAAAAGTAACGTTTTTAGCACTTATAAAGCCTTAAAAATGTTGCCCTAGCCTTCATGCAACCCTAATTCAATTTGTGGGCTACCATGCACAACCCAACCATTGAGCCCAAGCCACCTTCTAGCCCACTAGTAATCACTAATCCATCACCTTTTGGGCTTTCATAATCCATGCATGGATCATCCCCTCCCCCTTTGGAAGGAATTGACCTCAATTCATTAAGTCCATCATCATCAAGATAAGGTGAATGATCTCCCACATTAAAGGTAGCATGCATTCCATGGTCTCCTCCTAAGTCCACATTGTAACCATTATCATTTTCAAAATTTGTCACTTCCACACATGTATCATTCCCTCCTTCTTCGAAAGGAATTGTCCTCAATTCAGTAAGAACCAAATTTTGTTGTTCTCCCATACAAACCTTCCATGACAATAGGTCTTGAAAACATATTTTTATTGCAGAATGTGACCTTTTCTTTACTCCAAGTTGGTCTCTTCTCCACATACACATGTTCTTCAAATAACTAAAAGAACTTGCCAAATGAAATTCTAACCATATCTTCCATTTGTGGATCAAAAACCACTTTCGTACACTCCCATGAACAAGATTAGAACCTAGAAAGTTATCCTTGAAATAATTTAAAGGATTAACAATGGTCATATGAAATAATAGATCATGGTTTGTACTTGTGGGTTGATGAACAACATGTTCCAATAACATGGCTTCCCAACTGAAAGTACACCACAAGAATAGGAATCCAAGCATTATGAACTCCCTCCCTCGTAATTGCTTGGAACTTGGAACTTGATCGGTCACTCCTTCTTCTAGGTTCTTAGAAAGACGGTTTGTTATAAGAGGAGTATCATCATCCTTCTTAACCACAACCACATCTTTGTGGTCAAGAACCTGCTCCACCTCTTTGGGTTCTTCAACCTTTTCTTCAACAATTTTGTTTGTAACAATAAAATCGATTTCTTTCACAGTTGTTTCAACAATTTTGTTTCCAACCATGAAATTTATTTCTTCTTCAATTTCTACATGGTCGTCTTCCCCATCAGTGGCATAGAAAGGGTTAGAGTGTTCAACAATTTTTTCTCTAGTCACTAAATTAATTCTTTCAACAAATCCCCCTTCCCCATCGGTGTCACAGATGGGACCGAAATCTTCTTCCTCCACTTCTTCAATTTCCTCTTCCTCCTTAATGTCTTCTTCATCATATAACTTGCACAACATTTATGGACAAACAACTTCTGAACATGAAGTGAAATCAAACAAACTTAGCAAGGATTTTTGTTAAACAAGAACACAACAACACCCAATCGAAATTGGGCTCTGGTACCACTTATGATACGTGTATGAGCTTGATTTGATGAGTAGGGTAGTTTAGGTAAATTAAGAGAGAATAACAACCACAAATGATATGTGAACGGAAAGAAATGGATAGATTACTAACAACTCAAGACCTATTAAGTTGTATACCAGTGAAAACGATCCAAGACCTATTGGATTGAGTTCGTATCAAGTCAAGAACACGTCCTAACAAGATAATTTGTGAATTATAACAATAATTCTAATTGAACAATGGTTTTTTTCTTAAAAATTCGTCTATTATCTTTCCCATGCATAAACTTGGCTTTATATGAAGCCTTTATTACAAACTTGGTGGTTACAAGCCAACCAACCAATTATTCATTAAAACTAGTAAATGAAATTTAAGGAAACTCTTGAAGTAACACAAAAAAACGTCCAAGACACTTGAGAATGAAAAAAAACGTCTATGCTTCATTAAGGAGCCATAAGAAGCATTAATGAGCCATTAGAAGCATTAAAGTGTAACCCTAATCCACCAAAGAGTGATAAAAACGGCTAGGAGGCTTTATGAAGTAAAAAGTAACGTTTTTAGCACATATAAAGCCTTAAAAATGTTGCCCTAGCCTTCATGCAACCCTAATTCAATTTGTGGGCTACCATGCACAACCCAACCATTGAGCCCAAGCCACCTTCTAGCCCACTAGTAATCACTAATCCATCACCTTTTGGGCTTTCATAATCTATGCATGGATCATCCCCTCCCTCTTTGGAAGGAATTGACCTCAATTCCTTATGTCCATCATCATCAAGATAAGGTGAATGATCTCCCACATTAAAGGTAGCATGCATTCCATGGTCTCCTCCTAAGTCCACATTGTAACCATTATCATTTTCAAAATTTGTCACTTCCACACATGTATCAGGACCTCAAGAATTAAATGCTCATCAAAGCTTTGCCTAACTTGCATACACTTCTATTGTGGAACTCAAGAATTAAACAATGCTCATAAAAGCATTGCTAAATTGCAAAGACTACTTATATTGTGGAACTCAATAATTAAACAATGCTCATGAATGCTTTGCTAAATTGCATAGACTTCCAATGTGGAAACCAAGAATGAAACAATGCTCATCAAAGCTTTGCTAAATTGCATAGACTTCTATTGGGGAACTCAAGAATCAAACAATGCTCATCAAATCTTTGTTTAAATTGCATAGGCTTCTATTGCGGAACTCAAGAATCAAACAATGCTCATCAAAGGTTTGCTTAAATTGAATACACTTCTATTGTGGAACTCAAGAATTAAACGATGCTCATCAAAGCTTTGCTAAATTACATAAACTTCTAATGTTGAATTCAAACACGAAACAATGTTTATCAAAACTTTGCTTAAATTGCAAAGACTTCTATTGTGAAACTCAACAATAAAATAATGCTCATCAAACCTTTGCTAAATTACGAATTCTACCTCTATTGTGGAACTCTATGATCCCCATGCTTCATTAGCCCATACTGCTCCTGAAAGAATACCTATTGTTCAAAATATAAATCCTAGGCTAATCACACGATAACTCCAATAATCTAATTGTTGAATCAATTGGGCCTTGTAATAATTCTTAGTAGACAAAAAGTAATTTTTTTTTAAAAAATATTGTTTCTTTCATTCTTGTATTGGATTTCACCAAAATGAAAAAGACTCATTTTTTTTAAACAATGCTCATCAAAGCTTTGCTAAATTGCATAGACTTCTAATGTGGAACACAAGAATGAAAGAACGCACATCAAGGCTTTGCTTAAATTGCGTAGACTTTTATTGTAGAACTCAAGAATTAAACAATGCTCTACAAAGCTATGCTAAATTGTGAAGACTACTTTTACGGTGCAACGCAAGAGTTAAACAATGCTAATCAAGGCTTTGCTAAATTGCATACACTTCTAATGTGGAACTCATGAATGAAACAATGCTCATCAAAGCTTTGCTTAAATTGCATACAGTTCTATTGTGGAACTCAAGAATTAAACAGTGCTCATAAAAGCTTTGCTAAATTGCAAAGACTACATCTATTGTGGAACTCAAGAATTAAACCAATGCTCATCAAGGCTTTGCTAAATTGCATAGACTTCCAATGTGGAACCCAAGAATGAAACAATGCTCATCAAAGCTTTGCTAAATTGCATAGACTTGTATTGTGGAACTCAATAATCAAAGAATGCTCATCAAAGATTTACTTAGATTGCATAGACTTCTATTGTGGATCTCAAGAATTAAACGATGCTCATCAAAGCTTTGTTAAGTTGCATAGACTTCTATTGTGGAACTCAAGAATAAATTAATGTTCATCTAACCTTCGCTAAATTGGATACACTTCTAATGTGGAACTCAAGAACGAAACAATGCTCATCAATGCTTTCTTAAATCGCATAGACTTCCAATGTGGAACCCAAGAATGAAACAATGTTTATCAAAGCTTTGCTAAATTGCATAAACTTGTATTGTGGAACTCAACAATCAAAGAATGCCCATCACAAATTTGCTTAAATTGTAAAGACTTCTATTGTGGAACTCAAGAATTAGACGATGCTCATTAAACCTTTGCTAAGTTGCATAGACTTCTACTGTGGATCTCAAGAATAAAACAATGCTCATCAAACCTTTTCAAAATTACGAAGACTACTTCTATTGTGGAACTCTAGAATTAAACAATGCTCATCAAAGCTTTGCTAGATTGCATAGACTTCTAATGTGGAACTCAAGAATGAAACAATGCCCATCAAATCTTTGCTTAAATGGCATAGACTTTTATTGTGGAACTCAAGATTTAAACAATGCTCATCAATGCTTTGCTAAATTGCGAAGACTACTTCTATTGTGGAACTCAAGAACTAAACAATGCTCATCAAAGCTTTGTTAAATTGCATAGACTTCTTATGTGGACCTCAAGAATTAAATGCTCATCAAAGCTTTGCCTAATTTGCATACACTTCTATTGTGGAACTCAAGAATTAAACAATGCTCATAAAAGCTTTGCTAAATTGCAAAGACTACTTCTATTGTGGAACTCAAGAATTAAACAATGCTCATCAATGCTTTACTAAATTGCATAGACTTCCAATGTGGAAACGAAGAATGAAACAATGCTCATCAAAGCTTTGCTAAATTGCATAGACTTCTATTGTGGATCTCAAGAATCAAACAATGCTTATGAAATCTTTGTTTAAATTGTATAGGCTTCTATTGTGGAACTCAAGAATCAAACAATGCTCATCAAAGCTTTGATTAAATTGAATACTCTTCTATTGTAGAACTCAAAAATTAAACGATGCTCATCAAAGCTTTGCTAAATTGCATAAACTTCTAATGTGTAACTCAAACATGAAACAATGCTTATCAAAACTTTGCTTAAATTGCAAAGACTTCTATTGTGAAACTCAACAATAAAATAATGCTTATCAAACCTTTGCTAAATTACGAATTCTACCTCTATTGTGGTTCTCTATGATCCCCATGCTTCATTAGCCCATACTGCTCCTGAAAGAATACCTATGGTTAAAAATATAAATCCTAGGTTAATCACACGATAACTCCAATAATCTAATTGTTGAATCAATTGGGCCATGTAATAATTCTTAGTAGACAAAAAGTAATTTTTTTAAAAAATATTGTTTCTTTCATTCTTGTATTGGATTTCACCAAACTGAAAAAGACTCATTTTTGTTTAAAACAATGCTCATCAAAGCTTTGCTAAATTGCATAGACTTCTAACATGGAACAATTATTTACATGCTTGTGGCCAAAGAGCATGCAAAGGTGGAGAAGATGGTGCATGGAGAAAACACTATTGCTGATTTGCTTTTGGAGTTTCAAGATGTGTTTCCAAGCGAATTACCACCGGGTTTGCCTCCAATCCGCGGTATCAAACACCAAATTGACCTTATTCCGGGTACTCCTTTGCCTAATAAAGCTGCCTATAGATGTAATCCGGAGGTGACAAAAGAGTTGAAAAAACAAATTGATGAACTCATGAAAATAGGTTATGTTCGTGAAAGCCTAAATCCTTGTGCTGTTCCAGTTTTGTTGGTTCCAAAAAAATTTGGTTCTTGGAGGATGTGTGTTGATAGTAGGGCTGTTAATAACATCACCATAAAATACCGATATCCTATTCCTAGAGTTGATGATTTGTTGGACGAGTTGCATGGTTCTATTGTGTTCTCAAAAATTGATTTGAGAAGTGGTTACCATCAAATTCGTATGCATGAAGGGGATGAATGGAAAACAGCCTTTAAAACTAAACATGGCTTGTATGAATGGACCGTGATGCCTTTCGGTCTAACTAACGCACCTAGCACTTTCATGCGACTAATGAATGAAGTGCTAAAATCTTTTTTGGGCAGGTTTGTGGTTGTGTACCTTGATGATATCTTGGTATATAGCAAGAGATTGGAGGATCATTTGGTGCACTTAAAACAGGTTTTCGAGACGCTTAGAGCTCAAAAACTCTATGGAAAGCAAGAAAAATGTTCGTTTTTAGTGGAAGAAGTGGCATTTTTAGGTTTTGTGGTTTCAAAAAATGGTGTGTCCGTAGACCCATCCAAAACTGAAGCAATCAAGTCATGGCCTATTCCTACTAACATTTCTGAAGTTAGATCATTTCATGGTCTTGCTTCTTTCTATAGAAGATTTGTTCGTGATTTTAGCACCATTGCAAGTCCCATGACAGGTTGTTTGAAGAAAGGAGTCTTTGCATGGGGAGAAGAAGCTCAAAAGGCATTTGAGAAACTTAAGGCATTATTGTGTGATGCTCTTATTTTAGCTCTTCCAGATTTTTCTCAACCATTTGAAGTGGAGTGTGATGCAAGTGGAGTTGGTATTGGGGCTGTTTTGATCCAATCCAAACGTCCTATTGCTTATTTTTCTGAAAAG